CAGTGGACCCATCTGGGGTCCGGGTGACGATGGGCTGGCGGGGCGGGAAGACGAGGCTAAGGCCCTGGTTCCTGACTTGTGCAGTCCCCTGAACATGCAGGTCAGAATTCCCAGAAAGGCTCCAGCCCAGACTTGACTCGATACCAGTACAATTTCAAACCAACTGCAAGTAATTTCAGCCAGAGAACTGATGAGCTCTCCTGGGAAAAGGGGTGAAGAGTGAGAAGAAAAGGTCATCTAGAACAGTGGCCCAGGGGTCCAGGGAAGAGCTGGCCAGAGAAGGAAGAGAAATGCCATAAGCGTGCACTGTTAAGAAAGTTAAGGGTGTGGCTTTTGTAAGAAGGGTGCACTCAAGAGCGCAAGATTCTGCTTCGTTGTACCCACAGGTCACCGGCGACCTTGCCAATGAAGGTGCGTGGACACTTGGGGTGGTGCTGAAGTGATGGTGAGAGCTTGCACCACCTAACAGGGGCCACTGTTCTTTATCTTTTTTCACACTGTAGCCAAAATGTGTTTACATATTCATTCCCTAAGTACTTTCTTTATTAAGCACCTAATGTGCTGGGCACTATGTTCAGAGCTGTGGCTAAGAGGAGTCCTTGACGCAGGAGACAGGCAAGGAGACAGACACTCTCATTCATATCGGAAGGCCACGTGAAGTGAGTGCTATGACGGAGATGCACGCCAGGGGCTCTGCAGAAGCAGGATCAGCTTGACTAGGCAGTGGGGAGGAGCGGGCCGGAAAGGTCTTGGAAAGCAAGGAAGGGGAACGAGGTTGCACTGGTATGGTTGTCACTGGGTGTCTACTGCAGAGTTCAGGTCTCAGCCAGCAGGGGAGGAACAGCATTTCTGGACCTCCTAGTGGTCTGATGGGACCCCGGGACTGAATCTGGCCAAGGAGTGGTGAGGAGGGGTGAGCACATCACTTCCAGGCCAGAGTACTCAATTGCCAGTGCCAGATCCTCCGGGGTCTCTCTGCCCTCTGGCAGGGTGAGCGGCAACGTTTGTGGCTGCTGCCAGGTACCCGAGTAACTGCCCTCAAGACACGCTCTTCTTGACAGACAAGTGTAAGGGAGGAAATACTATTTTCCCTCCATCCATCTTAGGTTCATTGTCTGGGGCCCTGGAAATTAGACCAACAAGACAGGCTAACGAGAGAAAAACAGTTTATTAACACGGGCATGGTGCATGCACATAGGAGCTCCCAGTGGTGAGTAACTCAAAGAGGTGGTTAGAATTTGGGCTGATATAGCAACTTAACAGGGAACTGACAACAAAGGAAAAAGACTTTGAATTTCTGCGGGGGCACTTATGGTAAATGAGGGCTCCTTTTAACAAGTTTGTTAGGTTCCGCTGGTGCTGTCTCTGGGCTGATAAAGATAAAGTTGTCACCAGTGATTGATTTCTCTCCTTCCTGGTGGAGAGAAGGGAGGACATCCTACAAATTCATGTCCTGCTTTTAGGCAGATAGGGGAGAGCATTTCTTTTTTTTTTTTTTTTTTCCTTTTCGTTTTTGTTGTTGTTGTTCAGGTAGAGTGGGGGGGGGGGAGAGAGGAACAGAGAGAGAGAGAGGAAAACATCGATGTGAAAGGGACACATGGAGTGGTTGCCACCCGCACGACCAACCAGGGCCGGGGACAAACTGCAACCGAGGTACGTGCCCTTAGCAGGAACCGAACCCGGGTCTCTCTGGACCGTAGGCCGACGCTCTAACCACTGAGCAAACCGTCCAGGGCCAGAGAGCTTTTCTTAAAGCTGTTTCTTCTCATTTGCCTTCAGCTCAAAATAATCCTTATATCAAAGTGGCATATTTTGAGGTCGCATACATTCAGCTACCCTGAAGCAAACTTTTGTTGGTTTACTGTCACCATAGCATAACGTGGTCGGTCCCTGGACCACGAGGCTTAGCTTCACCTGGGACCTTGTTAGATATGCAGATTCTCAGGCCCTGCCCTGGACTTACTGAAGCTGAAACCCTGGGATGGGGCTCAGCCTCCTGAGTTTAAAGGAGACCCCCCCCTCTCCTACCCCCAGGGGATTCTGATGCCTGTTCAAGTCTGAGAACTGTCCTGGCTGCGGCTGACTGATCCTGTCACCCGAAAGGCAAAGCAGGAGGAATTAGAATTCAGAGAGAAGGTCAATCTAGTAAATGTGAAAACATGGAGTAAGAAGACTAATTAAACGGTGAAGCTCTTCGTGTCATAGAAAATTTTTTTTTTTTAATTTTTTTTTTTTTTTAATCCTCACCTGAGGACATTTTTTGATATTTTGTTCAGATAGAGTGGGAGAGAGAGAGAGAGAGAGAGAGAGAAACATTGACGTGAAAGGGACACATCGAGTGATTGCCACCCACACGACCCAACCAGGGCCAGGGACAAACTGCAACCGAGGTACGTGCCCTTAGTGGGAACCGAACCCGGGTCTCTCCAGGCCGCAGGCCGACGCTCTAACCTCTGAGCCAAACCGGCCAGGGCTAGAAAATATTTTTTTAAGAAAAAAATTATTGTACTCATCCCTGAGATGGTGAAAAGTTGCTGTGTGAAGAGTCTCCTCTATTCCATCAGAAGAAATCACTCTCACAGAAGGCCCACGGCAACCCAGCATCACTGGAGCTAGACCCGGGGCCTCAGAGAAACCCAGAACTACACTTTCCATTTGTCCTGATGGCCTGGCCGACTTAGAAAATGCTCCTGAATGCTCTGAGTCTGAAAAGTACATAAAATCCAATTCTTTTCCTCTGCAGGGTGAGTCATTAGCGCTTCAGCAGAGGCTATTTGGTAATGGGCACTGTTTAAATGAAGCAAAAAGTACAATTTCAAACCAATTGCTTTTTAAACTGTCAAATAAAAGGAATCCATTTGTGCATGTGAAATTATTCTAAGGGTTCTAACTATTAGCTGAAAGCAGGTGAAAGATGTCAAAGAAAAATAGTGTTCTATGAAAGAGCTAGCTCATGTTCAAAGGCAGACACTTGATGACTGCTTTGACCTGCTTTGGATTCAAAAATTTCTGTTTTCATCAGCCCTGGGTGAGCTCCACAGAAAAAGTTTTAAGAACAATTTCAATCCTAATAACAAGATGCCATTCTGTTCATTAGAGTTGCTTTAACCAGTGTGACCCTAATGCTGTCTTATCGGCAGGCTAACAGTGTATTATCACTCGAACATTTTCCTTTGCCTTAAACTGGATGCCAAGAGCCCTTGGCTAGCTTTCCCAGTGACATATTTAACACTGTTCTATGGCTTTCTATTTGCTATTGATGAATGCATCCTTGTACAGCCTAGTCAATGAGAAGAAAATTCTGCAAAAGTATGCAAAGTGTTTTTTCTGTTATTGGCAGGCATGCTTGGTACAGGTCACCAGTGTGGCTGGTGAGCCTCAGTGGTAAGGCATCTCTACAGACAAAACAGTGCTGGGATGTTCTATACCAGGCCAACTCCAGCCTTTTCCATTTCATTTTCTCTAGGGGCTTCCACTGCAATTAGTCTTGTGTTCATGCCTTTAGTATCTTTGTGGGCACGGAAACAGGGCTGCTGAATATAAATAACTAGTGAACCTTCTCTCTCCCCTGGCCCTTCAGGTACCTCTTACCCATGCCACTATGCAGGGCTAACGCAAGCAAAATTTTCCCTGCTTACTCTATCTAAGAGGACCCATGCAGATGGTGAAGGGCTAGAGGCATTGGGACAGACTGCAAAGGGCCATGCTTCTGGAACTTGAATATGCATACAAATCTCGGGGGGGGGGGGGGGGGGTGCTGCTAAAAATGCACATTCTGACTCAGGTGGCTGGAACCTTAGACCCTGAATATTTTACAAGCTCCCAGGCAATGCTCATGCCGCCATGTCCACATTTTGTATAGTGAGGGGATAAGGCACATTCTGCAAAACCATGACTTTTAGAACAGATGCTACTCAACAGGCATTTATCTAAGGGACTGGTTCCACTTTGATTTAGGGTTCCTTGAAAGTAGGGACTGGATCTTACACATTTTTTTTTTTCTTTGGGTTGTTTTGTTCTGTTCTCTGGCTGGCACTTGGCACAGGTCCCGCACACGGTGGGTGTGTATTTATTTAATTAAACAGAGCTGGCCTTGTTCCAAACAGGATTTTAAGTGGGCTTAATCCCTAGCAGGCCCTAACCAGGTGCGTGATGAACCGGCCAGGGAAGGAAGCCAGTCCCAGGGTTTGTCTCAGTCCCTGGGTTTGTCTCAAACGCTCTGGGCTGAGGCCCTTACCTCCGAAGGTCCCCACCACCTGCTAGTACCTGGATTACACCTCAGCTGCTGCTCTTCTGAAATTCTTCCTCTTGCCCTATTTTTAAAACAGTTTACACTAGAGAGCCGATCAGAGAGGAGGAAAACAAAACAAAAACCAGAAAGCCCTGCGAAGCGGCACGGCTCCAGAACATCAAAAGCCCAACTCTCAGCGGCGGGGCCGCAGAACTCTCAGATTTCTCCCTGCCTGGTCTCGGGCGATCTGCAGGTCGGCGCGGCGCCCCCGCCGCCGGCTCCCCCGCCCGCCCTGAGAGCCCTTCAGGAGTCGGTCCCGGCGGGCGCCGGAGCTGTAGGCTTGCTGCAAGCTTGTTTGTTAGCTCTGCTCGAGCAATTAATCTTCTCGCACATCTCCTGCACCCCCTTCCCCCGGTGGGTGTCAGGGCGCCCCAGGGGTCGTGGGGAGCTCGACAAGAGCTCCCGCTCTACGGAAACCCAGTTCGGAGAGCCGTACCCTGTTCCTCCCTGCAGCAGCCCCCTCGGAGGGCTCTAGAGGGGGGGCTCGGTTCAGCACCACAGGGAAGGGCGAGGAAAGGGGAGGAGGACGACGATTATGTTGGTCAGTAGTTGAGCCTCACCGGGGAAGGGAGGAGCGCACGGGCGAGTGCGCCTTAGAGGCGGAGTACACGTGCTGCCGGGGGGTGAGAGGCGGGCGGGAGGGGAGGAGAAGAGAGGCGTGAGCTGCAGGCGGGAGGCGCCACGGCCTCGAGACGCAGGCGCCGGCAGCCGGAGAGAAAGTTCCCGTGGAGAGCTCGCCCCCGGGAGGGCCGACGTGGAGACGGCTCGCGGCGAGGGTCGCCGGTCCCGCGGGTCCGGCCTGCCTTCCTGCCGCACGCGTTGGGCCACCCGGGCTTGGCTCATCTGGAAGCAAGGGAACGTCGCTGGCTGCCGCGGCCGCCAAACTTGGAGGAGGATGCTGCGAGTGGGAGCGGCGGCGCGGGGCGCGGGGGCGCACTGAGTGCTCCCCGCGGGCGGCCCGGGGCAAGATAGCCAGGGCTGCGGCCAGGTAGCGGCTCCAGCACCCGGACTGCGCCAGCCCTGCAAGCCAGGGCCGCCAGCGCCACCGTGCCGGCGTTGCCTCCTCGCCACGGAGCCATGGTGCACGGTGCGCACACGCTGCGAGCGGGACCCTGAGCTCCGGCCACGCCGCGCGCCCCCGCCTTCGCTCCCTGCGCTTCCCCGCCGACCTTCCCCGCGGGCCATGAAGCTTTGCTCCGGAGATTCTAGCCTCTGAGCGGCGCGTCGCCCGCCCCAGCCCCAGCGCCGCTGGACCACAGATAGTAATCCGGCCGCTGAAGCTCCCCATCCTCTCCCAGGGACGGCACCCAGGCGCTCCGGGATGGCGCTCCCAGGTCCCCTCCGGCCGCGCAAAGTTCGCAGGAGGCGAGAGATGCTGCTGCAGCAAATTGGCTTCGTGTGCGCGGTGCTGGCTTTGGTGTGCTGTGCGTCCGGCCTCTTCGGCAGCTCGGGTAGGTGCGGGTGCGGGTGCGGGTGCGGGCCGACCCAGGGGTTGAGGGGCTTGGGCTGGGAAGCCGCGGGGCTGCTAGGAGATGTCTCCTCTTCCTTCCCCGTCAGGTTGGTCCCACGGGTTCATTCAGTCCCCTTCCCGCGGGGCAGGTAGAGCACACCCGGGAGGGCTGATGTCGACGCTCTGAGCTGTGGCGCCGGTTCCCCAGAGCTGCGTGCGGCCCCTGGGGGCTCAGGACGGGGCTGCGGGGCCGTGTTACTAAGACGAAAGCCAGAACCGCTGGCCCCTGGATGCCAGAGTTCTGTCTCTGGAGTGTGCGGGGGATGGGCAGCGCAGCAGGGGGTCCAGATGTGGATTCTCTTGACCTGAGTGGTCCGCTTTCCTGGGCTGCGGAGCGCAGAGTGTTGTGCTCCGCGTCCCTGAAAGACTCATATTCAGAGGCTGTGAACTTTGTCTCAGCCTTCCCCTCATCCCTGCCCATGCCTACAGGGGCGCCCTGGGTGTCCTGACGCCTCCTCTTCAAACCCTAAAAACACTGGGGCAGTCTGTCCCCTCCGGGAGGTTGCTGCCTCGTTTCAGCAGCGTTCTCTCAACTCCTGGTGTCTGGGGTTGCGATCCACACTCCTTCACCCAAGTAGAGACCCAGGGATTTGGGAGTCGCTTAGGATATGCAAATCTGAGGTGGAGAGAAGGCGAAACTCACAAAAAATATCTGATTGGAGTGGTGGTGAGGGCATGGGAGCCATGTGGAATCTTCAGAAGACGCTCACTTGGCTAACATTGCCAGTTTTAGTTGGATGCTGTGGACCTTTGGTTTTTTTAAATCACATTTTTAAAAAATGAAAGAAATGCAAATGATTTAGCGATGTAGACGTGAAATAAAGCAGCGGTGCCTTCTCCAGCAGTTAGAAAGGGACCATGTAGGGAGGTGTAGAGTGAGTGATAGGTAAAATTTAGATGGAACTTGATTAAACTTAAAAACAAAACCAAAAAAACTGCCTTTCAAAACCCATACTTTGTGATTGTGGATATGAGGTTAAGCAGTGGCTGTTTCCAACAGAAAACCAAAATGGTTATTTGAACATCTTAATACCTGGTGCCTTGCAATTGCGCAAGTCGATGTATGCTTTTCCCCCTCAGTCACACACCAGAGATAACAAACACCTAGAGGCTTTTAGATGTCGGCAATGTAGAAGTGTTATTACCTCGCTGAAGCAGCGTACACATTAGGAGAGGTAAATGGATGCTTTAAAGGTCTCAGAGTGAGAATCGCCTCTTTTTGCTGGATCAGGAATTGCCTCTAGGAGTTTAACTGCGTTTGGTTCCTGCCATCCACGCCTGTGATCTCACCTGTTCCACAGTTTGGCCTTTGGTCTGGCAGAATCAGCATCGCCTAGGAGCTTGTTAGTGCCCAGACCCACTGAATCAGAATCTGCATTTTAACATGGTCCTCAGGTCACTTGTGTGCACATTCAAGGGCGAGAAGCCCTGGCCCAGACCCCATCAATCTTTCCCACCTGCTTGCTGGCTTACGATCTGATTGCAGGTCCTCCAGAGCTGGGACACCTGAGCATCTTTACTGGCAGAGAACTTAATGGTCACTTACTTAAACCCTTTGTTGTATCTGTGAGGGACCGGGAACTGAGGGATCTTGGTCAAGGTCAGATTGCATGCTGACCCACCTGAGACTAGAAACAATGAACTACATCTAGGAAGCAGATTACTCTAAGGGATATTTATTGTGCTTCCAATCATTGTACCACTTCCCACGGGTAGCTGTAAGTAGTCAAACGGCTGCTGCTGACATAGCTAGATACAGATATGTAAGGTCATTGTGAGAATGCAGGCGCCACCTTGACCTAATGATGTCTGTGACTGAATTTCCAACCCAGGGCACACAACAGCGTCTGCAAGCAAGTATGTCCTACCAGACACATGGAGAAACAGAAAGCTGATGGCATCACTGAATGGGTCTCAGACAGCTAAGAATTGCACAGATCCTGGTAAGAAATAGATTCTTCACCCTCCTCTGCTCCCCTCCCCCTTTCCCCCCAGCATTTGGCTGGGCCTGGAGATGGGGCTTATGGGGACAGTTATAGCCGGGGCTGAGTGGTTTTATGAACCTGGGTGGGAGGGTAGCCGTAAGACATTTAAAAGTAATGTACACATGGTAATCAAAAGTGCTGCTAAGCAACTCAAATACTTTCTTTATCCAACAACTGAAAAGGTCACATTCAAGAGTTTCAAAATTTCATTTTTCTCACAACGCTCCTAAGGCTCAGTGTTTCCCGCTTTCTTGATTTTGTTGGCCTGGGTGTCTTTTTCTTTCCCTTTGGCTCATTGTGCCCCTTTGCTGGAGCTCTGGGGGCAGCAGACCCAGCTGCTCTGGCAGATGGCACTTGGGGATGCCCTGTTGGCAGGTCAGATGCCAGGGCAGCGGCAGGGCCAGGACTCTGCGGTGCTGGGGCCCCTTCTCTGGGACGGGAGTTCCTGGGGTGTCCTTCCAGCCCGGGAGAAGGATGCTGCTTACCCTGGGAGGCAGTTTTGGTTTTCCTTCTAAGACTTCTCTAGGGGCTTAGAGGAAGTAGGGACCCAGAGATGACAACTTGTCTGTCGTCCTGCCACAGGCAGTCTTCGCTGGGAAGAGTAAAGATTCTCCGGAGACGAGAGGGCTACTGGCAGGCAGCCAGGCGGGTGGGACCTCCCCGGCCTGGACGGGGCAGTCCTGTGCCTTCTCTCTGGCGCCAACACGTGGTGGTCTTCGATAGAAGGACCAGTGGGGTGATGTATTCGGAAGCCCTTTGAGAATTATATAGGTGGATACCACTTGGCTTTTCCACTGATCTTCTAGGTCTCTGCTTCCTCGCCTGTGAAATGGGCAGAAGAGTGCTCGCTCACTCTGGGGTCGTTGGGGATATCTGGGAAGGCTCCGTGTGGGGCTGTGTGTGAGAGGAAACGGGTCCCCACGGCAAAGGGGCAGGTTCGAATGGCATCACCATGTGGCTTATTTCCGTAGGTCTTACTGCATTCTCCAGGTCAGGGAGCACTGAGGGAGAACACAGAGTTGCTCAGAGTCACAGGACGTGTAAATGGTGACGCGGCACCGGAGCCTAGGCCTGTGTGATGACACGTTTGGTGGGTTCCACATGCGTAGGGAGGCCAGGCCTTCCCTCCTAGCCCGTTTCTACACCACCTGCTCCCCTTCTCTCGGGACTTTCTGAGAAGTACAGTTGGGCACGGAGGGTCGATGAGCGCAGGCTTGCAGAGAAGCAACTCAGATTCCCTTTGCACTTTGAACTCTCACCTATCCTGGTGACTTAGCAGCAGCAGCAGCGTCCCCATCCTGTCATTTAACCTTCCCCAGAACACCTTTCATCAGCCTCAAGTAGGGGACGCATGTGCCGGACTGATGCTAAATCAGCACCGTCCACGTGGGGAGCACAGCGCTCTGGGTGAAGAACCGGGGTGAGTGCGTTTGTGACTGGCTTCTAGCTCCGGGGCACCCTGGTTCGGGCTGGCTATGCCCTCCTCTGGTGACTTCTGTCACATGGAGTCTGGGCACGCTGGCTTGGACAGGGCCTCAGTCTCGTGTGCCCTGTTGTTGCCTGTGTCTTCTGTGGACTCTGATCAAAATGGATTCCACGGACTGGAGCAGGCTGTGCTGCTCGGCTTGTCCCTCACGCAGAGGGACGTTCAGGGACGTCGCAACCTCTTCAGCATGAACTGACATTTGCGTTGTGCTTTGGGTCGACTGTTTCCAGAGTTGGGCCCTGCACATGGAAAGGACTCAGTAAATGTTGGTGGCAGAATGGAATGAAAGTACATTTTTAATATTAAGCACTTTAATCCTTAGAGTGTTTCTGCAAAGATGAGAAACACGAGGCTCAGAAGTTTAGTGACCTCCCTCGATCTCTTGGCCGGCAGGAGCATCCCTGGTGTTCTGGGTCCAGCTCCCATGCACCTCCCCCTCTGTACTGCACCTGCTCCCCACCCCACCCCAGCGCACCTGCCCAGCTCTCCTCCCGGCCCAGGAGGCTAAGGCTCGACTTCCCTTCCAGCCCCCTGGTCTCTGGGCCGGGAGAAGACCGAGCCTCCTTCCTGTTCCAGGAGCAGGTAGCACACACCTGCTGTTGTGTGTCCAGCCCTGTGGGGCACTTGGTGGGGAGTCTAAGCGAGGATGACAGGCAGCCCTTGTCATCAAGTGGCTCACACCGTGGTGGGAGGCCATGAGCTCTGGTGTCCCTTCCTCTTCTTAGAAGGGCACAGATAGCATTATGGGGACCCCCCCTACCCTCATGACCTCATCTAAACCTAATTACCTCCCAAAGGTCCCACCTCCAGCTGCCATCACATTAGGGAGGTTAGGGCTTCAACACAGGAATTGGGGGGAGGCACAAACCTTCAGTCCCGATCAGGAACCAAAGAATTCTCCTACAGCTCTGGAGGTGGCCCCTGGAGGGTTTGAAGACAGCTGAGGGTGGAACCTGGGGCTTCCCAAGCCTGGCCTGCAGGTGAGAAACACAGGCACCTGGCCCTGGCCCCAGCTCGTGAAATCAGAACCACTGACGGGTGCATTTTGTGGCGAGTTGTCAGAGGTTCTAGGAAGCGTGCTTATCCCCCCCGGTCCTCCAGGTGGTCTCCCTGTGATTGCAGTGTCCCCAGGCCTTTCCTGGTCATCCAGCCCCAGTAGCCTCTGAGCCACTGGCTCTAGTTTTAGCTCTTCGCAGGCAAGAATTCTGTCCATTGTTTTGTTGCTTTGCCTCCCCAAGTAGAGTATGAAAGGTGAGAGCCTTGTTTGCTTTTAAAAACCTCAGTAGCCCTGGCCAGTTTGGCTCAGCGGTTGAGCGTCGGCCTGTGGACCAGAGAGTCCCGGGTTCGGTTCCTGTTTGGGGCACGTACCACAAATATAAATAAATAATAAAAACCACAGTATATGCTTCAGTTTTTACTTCTGTAAAAGCAAGTGATAATTGAATCCACCTCCTAGGGTTGTTAGAATTAAATAAGTTAATCTCCACCAGGCAATACACACATCCATGGTCAGACGTTAGCTTACGTTTTTGTTATTTCTTACCCTCTTACCCCAGAGATGATACAGTGCCTGAGTATGGTAGGTACTGGAAAAACTACTTGGCAATCAGATTTCATGAGGACAAGTTAACAGGTAAACATCTTGCCAAACATGGTTTCCTCTCTTCTGGAAACAAATGTCTTGGTTTGATTTTTTTTTTTTTTTTTAATCTTTTGAGGATTTGGGGTCCTGGAGGATGGCATACCATGTAGAACTTGCCTCTAAAAGGAATTTATCCCTTGGCTGGTGTTACTTACATTCTGGCATTTAGCTGGGGTGGGCCTGCCCCCCCCCATTCCTACACGGCCTTTACCCCCACCTCTGAGATCGAATCAGTGATCCATCCTCCACCACGTCCCCTCGGTTCATCTGGGTTTCCATCCTCTGCCCCGTGTTTCAAAGGAATAAGCAAGGAGACAGGGTAGCTTGGTTCCTCCCTGTTGTCCTTGTTGGGGGTGGGGGGGTTATCTTGTTTGGTTTTCCACTTTGGAAACGCGTCTTTTGGAATGCCTGGGGGCTCTGCTGTCGGCCCAGGCTGCCATGGCAAACACCGTGGCTGGGCTGTAAGCAACAGAGGGAAGGTGGTTCTCACAGTTCTGGAGGCTGGAGGTCCGAGGTCAGGGCTCCAGCTCACTCGGGTTCTGGTGAGAACTGTCTGCTGTGCCCTCTTGGAGGGAGGGCGAGGGCAAGGCTTCCGGTGTCTCTTTTTATAAGGCTGCTGATCGCATCAGACCAGAGCCAGAGCCTCACCCTCCTGACCCGTGCCCGCATTACCTTCCACAGGCCCCATCTTCAAATGCCATTGCTCTGGGATTAGGGCTTCGACAGGAGAATTGGGGGGGGGGGGCATACCCATTTGGGTCACCACTGTGTCCATAGACAGAAGGCTGGGAAAGAGGGCTGAGGGAGGGCTTGGGAGAGCACTGGAGATGAGGGTACTTCCGAGAATTTCAGGGGCCAGCGGAGCTGGAGGCAGGCGCTCGACGGAGGATCTTTTGTGGTCAGCCTGGTGCTGATCCATCCTTACTTCTGCAGGACGCACGGAAAGGCCATGTGGGGGGTCCCGTGGGAGCGGGCCCGTGTGCAGGAGTTGGCGTTGACGCTGGTTAGGAGGAGATGAGATCACTGAGCAGGATCCTGCTGCAGCAGCAGATCTCTGTGGGCGCCCGTGTGGGGAGCAGAGGTGCAGAAAGCGGGAGGAGGAGGGGACCTGGAGCAGCAAAAAGTACATCAGGACCTGTGGGTGTGGAGGTGAGGCAGTGCTGGCGGCAAGACTGAGCAAGCTGTGCGAGGCTCCTTCAGCAGGCCTGGGAGACGCGCCACGCGGCCCAAGTGGCAAAGTTATGTAAAGGCAAATCCTGGGCTGGAAAAGCAAGAACTGAACATATTGCCGTTTCCTGGGTGCAGGGAGATCACAGTTCAGTTACTATCCAGACAGTAGAGGCAGGACTGCCAGCCTGGGGAGGGGGTATCTGGGGCAGGACAACCTCCAGAGAGCCAGGTGGCTTCTTGGGGAAAGTGTCACCAACCACTTTGTGATGGTGAGAGACTGGCAAAGCCACCCACCTGATCACACATGGAGGCAGATGAATAGCAGCCTGTGTGACCACTCTGCTTTGGGGGTTGGGAGTGGGGACGTTGTGCGTTGGGTCAAGTGGCTTGACCAGAGATCTGGCTTCTAGTACTGGCTATGCCAAGATCCTGCCTGGCATTTGGGGAGTCCCTCCCTCTCGTCCTCTCTCCTTCTCCCAACAAAACAAGATTGCATGGGGTAAGTACAGAATTTCCAGTAGCCAGAAAATCTCTTGTCCCAACAAGTACCAGCTCTTCTTGGAGGTGGCAGCTTGATGTACGGGTTTGAGTCCTGGTTCACCTTTCCTAGCGGCTGTGTGACCTTGAGCAAGTTCATGATCCCTCTAAGCTTCCGGTTTT